CTCCACCAAAACAGCCCATAAATCAACCGCAGATGTGTTCGAGCTCTGAATTGCTTTTGATAGTTTTCGTCTTTGCTTGGCTTCTTCGTTCAAACCAGTTTAATTGCAAAATTTTCTTTTTCCTCAGCAATTCTCAGTAGCATTTGCTGCAATTCGTTGAAATGGTGCGGATTTTTTTTTACGATTTCCGACATTGGTATGACTGTTTTTTTTTTAATAAGTAACTTCTCAATTTAACCGAGAGCCGACTTTTTTCTCCTGTCGTTAGCGAGTAGTAGTACCATAATTTCATAACCCCTCTCGAGAGAATCGTTAGCTCTATTTATTATGAAAGTGTCTCTATCATGCTTCTCTATCAAAGACCTGAATGTGCCGGCTGCGGGTGTGTGACATAACTAAAACATATTTTTCAAGATGTAGCGTAAATTTAACTGCAAAAATTGAATTAGACAGCTGAATTAGTAGAAGTAGACGTAAAATTTTGTGTTTTTGTAAGAAGGAAGTAGTAAAATACATAAAGCATCAATTTTATTTAGTTTGAGAGTTTGTTGTCCTTTGTGTGTCGAATGAGATTTTTCTCATGTGAAAAGAAACGGCTATCATTGTTCATCTCTCAGATGCAGTTTGGCGGCCGCCGTTCAACAGCTCAACTACTTTTCTTCTGAGATCGAGCAAAAGATCGAGTTTCACCCTCACCCTCACGCCACTGCTTGGACTGATATCCAATACCCCGCCATGGAAGCCATTCTCCAACAAACCCAGCTCCCGGTGATTTTTTCTACTCTCTAAAAACGATTGAAGTGTTCAGAATCGACCGATCGATTGATCATTCGATGCCGGAAACAGCCAGTCAAAAAGAGTCATTAACTTTTCTTATCTATATTTACCATTTTTTCATTTCTCTCATTTAGACTACACCAAAAAAGCCCATAAATCAACCACAGATGTGTTCGAGCTCTGAAATGCTTTTGATAGTTTTCGTCTTTGCTTGGCTTCTTCGTTCATGCCAGTTTAATTGCAAAATTTTCTTTTTTCCTCAGCAATTTTCAGTAGCATTTGCTGCAATTCGTTGAAATGGTGCGGATTTTTTTTTATGGTTTCCAACATTGAAATGACTGTTTTTTAAATGATTAACTTCTCAATTTAACCGAGAGCCGTCTTTTTTTCTCCTGTCGTTAACGAGTAGTAGTACCATAATTTCTTAACCTCTCTCGAGAGAATCGAGTTTGTTGTCGTTTTTGAGTGTCGACTGAGATAAATCTCATGTGAAAAGAACCGGCTATTATCTTTTACGCCTCAGAAACAGTTTGGCGGCTGTTCGACGTCACCAGTGCTCTTCTTCTGAAATTGAGCAAAAACTCGAGTTTGACCCTCGCCATCACGCCACTGGTTGGACTGATCTCCATTATGCCCGCCATGAAAGCCATTCTCCAATAAACCTAGCTGGTGATTTTTTGCTACTGCTGCTGATCGTACTGAAAAAAATTGAATGAAACATTTTTTATGGTGCAGCGAAAATTCTACAAAAAAAAGAAGTACAGCGTTAATTGAATTAAACTGTTTTTCATGTTTGAATTGACATAAAATTTTGATTTCATAAAAAGGAAGTAATAAAAACATTTTTTTTGTTTAATTTCATATTTTGTCGTCATTTTGAGCGTCGACTGAGATATATCTCTTGTGAAGAACCGATGTCCTCTTGTACGCTTCAGATACAGGGCTGTTCTTTTTTCACCCTCAGCATCATGACATTGCTTGGAGTAATATTCTTTACGCCATGGAAGGCATTCTCCATCAACTGCAGTTCCTGGCGAGTTTTTGCTAATGCTGCTGCGGTTATTTCTACTCTCTAAAAAGCATCGGAGCGTTCAGTATCGATAGATCGTTCATTGATGAGGGAAACAGTCAGTCAAGATTGTCAGTCAAAAAGATTCATTAATATTCCAATTCTAAATTAAACAATTTTTTGTCTGATTTTTTGGAATCAACCCAAACAGCCCTTAAATCAACCACAGACATGTTGAGCACTGTATTGTTTTCGATAGTTTTCGCCCTTGCATGGTTTTTTCATTTTCAGTCAAGAGTGTTCCATGCCAAAATCCTCTATTTTCCTTGCAATTCCCAGTAGCATTTGCTTCAAGTCGTTGAAATAGTTTGGATTTTGTACAATTTCAGACACTGTTGTTTTTGCTTTTTTTATGATCAACTTTTAATGACCAAAGTTTCCAAACCCGTTCGAGAGAATCGATAAATATATTATAAAAGTCTCCCTGCTAGGCTTCTCTCTGAAAGACCTGACTGTGTCGGCTGAGGGTGTGTGTCTAAACAAATACACTATTTTCAAATTGTAGCGTAAATTGTACATCAAAATTAGAATTATAGAGTTTTTAATCACTGAATGGACATGAAATTTTAGATTCAATAAAACGGACTAGAAAAAGAACGGACTCGATTTATATTTAATTTGAGAGTTTGTCGTCAATTTTGAGCGTCGACTGAGATGAATCTCATGTGAAAAGAAACGGCTATCATCTTGTACGCCTAAGACACAGTTTGACGCCGTTCAAAATCTGCAGTACGCTTCTTCGAACTGTTTCACCCTCACCATCACGCCACTGCTTGGACTGATATCCTTCACGCCATGGAAGCCATTCTCAACAATTCTAACCTTTGGTGATTTTTTGCTACCGCTGCTGCTGCGGTCATTTTTACTCTCAAAAAGCAGCGTAGTATTCAGTATCAATCGTTCGATTGATCGTTCAATGAGGGAAACGGTCAGTCAAGGTCAATCCAACTCTATATTTCACATTTTGTCGCAATAATCTCATATTTAGAATTCATCAAAATCCCATAAATCAACCACAGACATGTTTGAGCTCTGAAGTGCTTTCGATAGTTTCGTCTTTGCTCGACTTTTTTTGTCAAGCCTGTTTCATCGCAAAATCTCCGATTCTCTCGTTAAAATGGTTTGTTGGGTTTTGCTCAATTTCAGACACTGTCATGGTTTTTATTCATATAATGATCAATTTCTCAATTAAGTACAGCTTTCTTTTTTTTGTCATTCCGTTAATGAGTAGTGGTGCGAAGGTTTTTTAAACATCTTTCAAGAGAATCGATAGCGCTGTGTTTTATATAACTGTCTCTGTCATGCTTCTCCCTCGCAGACCTGGCTGTGTCTAATGCGTGTATGTGGCTAGACTATAACATAATTTCCAATTGTAGCGCAAATGGTACAGCAAAAATTGAATTAAACAGTTTTTAATGACTATCTCAACCAAGTCGATAAGCCTGCTCAGTATTCTCCCCGTCATCAACAACTACCACCGAGCTGTGATCACCCTCTTCTTGCTGTCAGTTCGGTAAGATTACTCCTCCTCGCCATCAACCAAAATTTAATAGGGCTGACGATACTATCCTGACTTCATTCAAAGATTGCTCGCTGTTCATTTCGGCACTGAAATAAAAGATGATAATGAACAATCAAATTTTAGAACAAAAGCATTTAACCGTTTGACATTACTAAAGAAAAGACACTGCATCCCCACAATGTTGCAGCTGACCAATGATTACAACACAGGGGCAGAAGCTTTCGAACGCCTTGTGCGGGGACAAAAAATTGCACAGTTTTAGTTCTGGAGTACCGTTGAGGAGTGTAATTATTTCCATTAAATGAACGGATTTTTCTACGAAGCTCCGCAAATCCATAAGACGGGGTGATTAAGCTTGATTGCTCGAGCTCTCTTCATGGAGATATTATTGAAATTATCACAGTCTTTGGCTTAAAAAATTGAATCCTCACATTAGCCCATGAGTTATGGGTATAAAAGCTTTTGTGCATGCATGGGAACTTGACGCCCAAAAATGCATTCCTGTCGATCCAGATGTTAGGTTTTTCGTTAATTCGTTCTCGTTGTCGGAACAATTCATTATCCGCGCGTTTCATTTCGTCCTCAGCCTGCTCTACGTTGCTTTCAAAACTTTGGTTTATCTTTTATTAGACTTAATGCTGCCTATTATGGAAATTATTAGAGATTCATTTGATAATTAGGATCAAAAAGTGAAACCTACCTCAATTCAGGAATTTTTATTGGTCAGACCAATTGATTTTCGAGATTGAAAAAAAAATTGTACAGCATTCTCCCCTTAAAAGTCCTGATTTTGCTGCAGAAAGCAGATTGGTCAGCATGAGAAATTGTTATGTGCGCTTCTCTCCCATTTCTTACACATTTCTCACAATTTGAAAATTTGAGCATCCCAAGAAATTTTGATTGATTAGAAGTAAGTAATTTGGCTGTTCCTTGTGCGTTACTATTTCTCAGCAATATTAATAGAACATAAAAATAGTGTTGCGAGCAAAAAGCTGATCTAAACACCTCCCATCCATTTTAATTTTGAGCAGAACTAAACACTTTTCTCTTAAATCCAGATGAAACCGTCAGTGTGGCGCAATAAATAAGTCACATCATGCTTCGAATAGACATTAAAATTTTGATATCATAAAAAAGAAGTATTAAAACAAAATGATAGAAAACAGAGAAAGTTGTGATATTGGTACGCCAGATCATAGGCCAAGCTTCTAAAAGAGGTTAAAAGTCATTGGAAGACACCAGTAAAAAATTTTTGTTGGAATCAGAAATATCCTGAAAACAAGAGAAAATTTTCAAGGAAGAATATGAATCACGTCAAAAGCCATAAAAATAACTCCCTTCATTCAAGTAAGAGTACAATTATTTTTTGTTCAGAATAAGGTTGCACCAAAACAAAAAGAGCATATTATCACAGAACTGATCAACATTATTATTGTTGATTAATATAAAATATTAAATCAAACAAGTATAGTACTTTTTGAAATTCAAAAATTATACAATTGTCACTTTAATAACCTCATTTGCGGTCGGACAGTATTTACTCAAGCAAAAATTAATTCAATTCAAAAAAATTTCACGCATTTTCCACGCAAGTTATCGTCTAAATTCCGTTACTATAACACTATCATCTTCAGGTTTGCTATGAAAAGACGCAAACACAAAGAGCAAACAAATGGGTGGAACGTGGAAGACAGTGCACATGGCCGACTTAAAACTAGGAAGACAAACGCAGTTATGACTGATCCATATGCAGAACTAGGCCTCGAGGGAAAGTGGACCCTAAAAGATTACTTCTTGGCTGCTCTCATTGGTAAACTTTTTAGAAGGATGTTTATGAAGAACCCCATTCTACAAAATAAATCTAATTTCATCCGAATTTAGTTCATGGTCAGTTGAATCAAAAATAGCGTAACGACCTAAATAGGGTAACGACATCTTTTGTAATGACATAAATGATCCAAAAGCCGACAAGAATTGTTTGTTATCCAGATTCTTGACACAGTATGTTTGCAAAGAGGTGGGGGAGACCAAATACCGTTGGAATAGTAGAATCAATCAGCATTCGATTTTATAGCCATTAGACATAATGAAAAAAGTTATAATAATTGAGTTTCGCAGGTGGGGGAAGGGGAAAAGAGCCAACCGCTCCCCCCCCCCCCCGTCAAACATTTCTGTGCACAACACTGTCTTGACTGATCAAAGTTGTATCAAAACCTTATAAATGTTTCTATGATAGCTAATACCAAAAGCTACTCAGTTATAACAAGATGACACTTTTATAAGCGATGAACGTGGTAAATGTACAAATTAAAACTGAAATTAAACAGCGCGACTTGTCATCAGAAAGAGAGATATATTGTTTCAGTTTTAATCTTGCATCAGATTAATAGGTAAGCTATTGTATCAAATGGAACACGCCAAGCGCCTGCTTTTGATTTTGTTGCACCTGTTTGCATGGATTGAGCACGTGACTGGTTAGATGTGAAATAATAGGTGAAAATAACACGATCGATGGCAGATTTATCTTTTTCATGCTCTTACTGAAAACGTGTAATGGACGAATGATACAGGGATCTGTCTTTTTAGTAATTTTGACCGAATGACGAAGAGTTCAGTGAAATTTAACGCAATAAATATCTTTCCTGTTGGTATGATTATTTTTGTTCCGACCATTGAAAATGGGGAGGAACTTTGTATTCGGCTGTTTTAGTTTTTTCTCTTTTTTCCACGCAACATCAGGTACCACAAATAATCATCGGACTGGGTTGAGTGATATTTCATATTAAAGCTCTTACAGTCGCGATTCGAAACACATTAAAAAATTTTAATAAAATTTCCCAATGTCAAGAAAAACCGGTTTGAAATTTTTGATTTTTCGAGCGAATTGGAACCTGATCTAAACTACATTTTATGATTGGATAAATTAGATATTTTACCAATGTAAAGTATTTAATATTAACCAATCATGATCCATCTGACTAACAATCCACTTATTTGTAAGTGCTGAAATTACTTGTAATTTCAGCACCAAAGAGATTTGAATTTAACTTAGAAGTTAGTTGAACTCTCCCGAGTACTTCAGCAGCCGCAATAAACCAGTATACCCTAGATCTATTGAGCCTAGCAGAGACTAGTTAAACAACCTGAGACTAGATAGTATAAGAGTAAGATTAGGATCGGTATTAGACTAAGAAGTTGCACGAATCTATCCGGCCGAAAATAAGATAGCGTGACGAGCAGACGGTGTACCCTATCCGAAATTACTCTATGAGTTATACACTTCGGTCCTAACTCATCTGGTGCGACCATAAGTCTCGAACAAGACCTTAATAGCTTAGAATTAACCAATAATAGATTAGAATTTAGACAAAACATTTACAAAATGTTATACGACAATAATTTAATCGAAATGTCTCTACGACTCAATAGATCAGAGCCAATATTCCGAACGATAACAGAACTACCCGGAATTGGAAGAAGACCTCGAACCAGAGACGACATACGACAAAGCAGAAACTTACCATATAGTTATATGATAGTTCGGCAAAAGCCAGAACAAACTTTTGTATTTAGAATACTACTAGCAATGAATTTAGATTTTCATTTGCAAAGATAAAATTTTGAAGTCAATCTTCAAAATCATTTCAGGCGCTAAACAAAATTATTAATATACAATAACGATTGATAAAAAGATCTCAGATCGTTTTCCTAAATTCTGCAGTAATATACAAAACATGTTTGAAAAATATTTATTGAAAATCAAAATAAAAATTAGTAGCATGACAATAAATGGTTAGTAATTATAAATCATCCAGTTGTTCCAGCTTCATCACCTAAACATAACAGCATTCATAAGCTCACTAATATCATAAAAGTACTAAATCTTTTCCTTACACAAATTTAAATCATTTTAAAACTTAAATTCACTTAATTTTAAAATCAGATCATCAAGGCTTATCCTTGGATCTTAAATCATTTTCTATATAATTAAATTTAAAACTTGATCATCAAGGCCTATCCTTGGATCAAAAAGAACAACTTTGTTCTCCCCCACCCACTTAACTAGTGTCTAACGACCTCAAACGTCGATTCACTATCCAACCCTTTCTAAAAACCCAGGACTAATAGAAATTTTTGAACAAAACTAATCATTCAAATTAGGATAAACAGTGAAGAACTTCGGTTATTCATCCTTCACTTGATCCCCCCTCTTACCAGACCCAGGATAAATCGTAGACTTAGTAAGTTTAAAATAGTATCTAACGAACTACTCGCGTTCTAATTATACCTGAACCTTGTGGATCGATTTACTATTCTCCAACCCTGAACACAATCACTACCCTTAAGTAAGATTAAGTAAGTTAACACCTTAGCTTATACTAGCCACGAGAAAGTATAAAATCATTCTTCGGAATCGATATACTTTTCTCCCCAACCCTGAACAACTAGACCCAGGTTAGGCTAACAAAAAAATCGTAAGGACTAACAGTTTAAACAAATTGAAATCATTTAACAACCTTTTGCACCCGTCATCCTAAACCTTATGTCATTTAAAAACCTAGGAAATAAACAAACAATCGTTTTACACAATTGTGAAATAGATAACAAAAAATACGACCTTGTAATCACACCTCATACACAAACAGTTGGATATATTCGAACAAAACGACAAACACTAAAGAGAAAAATAATAACTAAACAAAGACAAATTACACGAAAAAGATTTTTCAAAAACCGCAACGCATTTTCAGAATCAGAAACCAACAGTTTAGACGAACTTTATAAACTAAAAGAATCAATAGATAAAAATTGCCCAATTCACGATCAATTATATTTCTCTGACTCAGAAACAACTTCAAATTCATCAAAAAGAGGAAAAAGAAGAATAAAAAAGCAGTATAAACACAAACCAGTACATTTATACAATTTGCAATCAACCAATTAGACACATTGATAATTACATATTAACAGTCATCAAACGAAAAAATGAGCTCAACACACACCCCAGGTGAAGAAAGTCCAGATGATGATGATATCTTCCCCTTTATAGTAGATGCAACCACTGATAGAGGACAGCATATATTTTGCAAAAATTTACTCTTAAATTTGTTTGAACCCGGAATCAGTCCATGTAAAACAGAGTTCCCAGATGTAAAAATCAAAAGACAAATTATCGATCACTATCTAAAAGATATATGTAACCTAACGCAACAATACGGAATCTACTCCATAGAATTCAGCTCACCAAATCAGAATCACAATAAATATATAATTCAAACAGACGACCTTGATTTAGAATTTTCAAAAGTATTCTCAGAATATATAAAAAGCATCCAATATCATAACTCACAAAGAGCAAACTCCATATTCACCAATGAAGTTTTTGCAATAATATATAGTTATATCTCGATATTAGAAAACGAAATCCCAATCACAAATGTTTCACCGACAGAAACATCTAAACACATAAGAGTACGACATGAAATCACACTACTCTCTAGTTTTCTAAATATAATTAAAGAAAATTTCACGAAAGATGAAGTTTCACAACATACAAAACACGACTTACAAAAGATTTTGGCATGGTTCATAATAGATTATTTCACACATAATATTGATTTAATTTCACAAGCAAGAAAAAATTTTAGACCCCAAAACTCAAACGATGATACTGCCATCACAGAACAATCAGACTATGTTTGGGACCCCGAATGGTCTCATCCCGTATTCATAAACTTCCCACAATCAATCTCAAGCCAAGCAATAAGTACGATATCTTATATAAGAGATTATGTAAGAGTAATACCATTAACCATTGATGCAACACCATTAAACTATAATACATTTTTACCCGATATGCAAAATAATAGTTTAAACTCTACAGTCATACACAATGAAAACCTCAATGGAACTAGGAATCTTACTCAACAAGATATCCAGACACCATCACACTTCATAAATGAAGAAATCGTACACACAACAACTACACAACAAAGTATTTCACCAATACGTCCAAACTTAACAACACCAAGAAATACAAATCCTTCACAAACACAGGTAACCTTACAATCAACCGTTAAACCTTCGGTTGCCCCAAAATATTCACACATGGATTACCAAACATACAGACCCATGACAATACCACCAAAAACACGCAAAACGTTCACTAGAAACAATTTTGCAGACCATAATTATAATTACACACATCCATCAAAAACAAATTATCAACCACGAAAAAATTTTAGTAATTATACAAGATCTCGAAACTGGGATAACTCAATGGCACCACCTAATTCAGTAAATTTCCAAACAAATTTACATCCTCCACAGGATCGTAGTGAAAACTATCCATTTTTTCAACAAAATAAAAATAAAAAACAAACATCTTATCAAATGGATTACTTATCCTCAGATGATGATTTCTTACAACCAGATATATTTGCACCCTATAATCAAGAATATCGTGGACAAGGAGTACAGAAACCACATACAAATCATAGAATTTTTTCTCCACAACCAATAGATACACAAAATCAACAACCAATTCAGCAACAAAACCCAATTAATACACAATCTTTTCAACCAATTCAGCAACAAAACCCAATGATTGCAAACTCGTACCAACCAACACAAATGCAAAATGAAATACCACTCCCATATTATCTTCAACAACACGAAATAACAAGAAATCAACTTTCAAATTTTTCTCAAATGCCAAATGCAGCAGAATCATTACAAATGACAATGAATCCATACCTTATGGGTGGATCATCAATAACATCAAATAAACCTTTAATGGTATTCACAGGAACAGACCCTAAATATTCTGTAGAAGACTATTTAAATGCAGTAACAGCAAATTTAATTTTAAATATAGGACCCGAACCAATTAATACGCCACTACATCAAAACTGGATACATCGACGCACAGCGTTGATACAAACAACTTTAGACGGCGCAGCCCAAAAATGGTTTTCAGTATTGCCTATAGAAATAAAATCAAATTGGAAAAGGTTTACACAAGAATTTTCAAAAATGTTTGACTCCGAAAGAAACAAACAACAACAAAGAGTTTTATGTAATGAAATTCGCAGATTACCAAACGAAACCATCAAGCAATTAGCAGTACGAATCGAAACACTAGTTCGAAAAGCATATTCATTAAATACACACGACTATAAAAACACAAAGATGACAGAAATCTTAATGATGACCTTAACACCGCAATTAAGAAAAATAGCGATAAAAAAGAGAGCATCCCATCCTTCTTCAATTCGAGAACCCGATTTAGATTTTCGAAAACTAGTAGACAAACTAGAACAAGCAGAAATCACAATGAAACTCGAAGAAACGGAAAATCTGAAATTACAATACGTTAACAGAATTGAAA